ATCCTGGTTTCGCTCCCGCGCCATTTTGGCTGCGCCCCAACTTCGGTTGGCTAATTGCATGCGCTCGCTCCTGATCCAGGTTCCTGGCAGCTGCAGCTCGCACCCCCTCCCGCTTCCGGTGACCTGAGGTGCCGCCTAGGCCTCTAGTTGCTGGCGCGTTAGGCAATTAGGTTCGCGCGCGGCCGGCCCGTTCCGTTACTCGCCGATTGCGCTTTCGCTTGCGGCTGCGACAAAAAAGTACCACCAGCCAATCCAAAAACAGGTCTCCAGGCGAGTTGCCTTGATCATGGAAGTGTAGAAGTATGCAGTGTAACAACGGCCTTGAATGGATATTATCCAAAATTTCTTTGAGCCATCTTGGATCGCTCTTGGGGTCCTCGGGGAACTACTTGGGCCACTCTTTGGGACCTCTTGGGGCTCTTTTGGGGGGTCTCGGGGCCCTCTTGGGGCTCTTGGGGGGGGTCCCGGGGGCCTCTGGAGGCCTGGGCCCAACTGTTCAAGAAGAGAGGGGATCGTAAATTCAGCTCCCCCCCGTCGGAGGCTCAAACATAGCGTATTAGGGCGCTCTTTGGGCGCTCTTGGGCGCTGTGGAGGCCGTCTCGGAGCCCTCTAAGGTCCCCTTGGGGCTTTGTTGGGCCATCTTGGGGCCATCTTGAAGCCTCCGAGGCCCATCGGAAGCGAAAAGGCGAGAAAGCAACAATCATAGATAGGCCTCTTGCTGGGGGGGGGCTTTGGAGGGCTCGGAGGGTACTTAAAACCGTCTTGGGGCAATCTTCAGGACTCTTGGATGTGTGCCGGAGGCTATCTTGAGCCATCTTGAATTATCTTGAGCCATGTTGGAGGCCAGCTAACGGTCTCTGAGGCCCTCCTAGATCCTAGAGCCATCTTGGGCCATCTTGGACGCACTTATCCAGCGCTTCCGATAAATAGACGCCCCTTCCCCCGGCAACCGGCAGCCGACCAGGACCAATGAGATCCACCAACCCACCATCGCTGTCCAAAGCAATGTAAAATCCACTTTGGGGCAAAATCTTGGGCCATGATCGGGGTTCCGCGAGCACTTTGAATTTGTTGTTTACATCGGCGGCGGGGGTGCCCGCATACTGCCTGCTCTGCGCAGGGCCAGCATCCCTTTTAGGAACTATACAACATGCTCTTCGAGACACAATCTGGATCATGGGCGGGCAGCCTGCGATCACTGTGCAGTGGTTTTTGACTGGGACGGCGGGGATGCCGGCGTACTGCCTGCTGTGAAGGCCCACCAGACGATATGATGGCCACCCCGCCGCAAGTGCGCAAAGGTTTTCGACAAGGGTGGTGGAGGCCGACACGTGCCCCAATCTGTACTGCCACGTGCGCAGGCGCACCTGGCACTCCTGGCACACCCGCAGACGCGTTGCCTTTTCGCGCACAACTGCTCGGCACTCCACGCTGCGCTACGTGCTGCCTCGCCTTCCCGTCCACAGGGAGGTTGCACGATGAAGAGAAAATTGCATTAGCGTGAACTTTTGGAGGTCAGCGCGGATTTCTTGTATCGGCCCTGGACCACTCTCGCTGGCGCGCGGAACGCGGCGCGAGGGCCGGCGCCAGAGGCGCCGCAAGGGGGCCCCTATCGCAGATCCAAAAAGTCAGCGCGGAGCTCCCGAAGCTTCTGTGTATGCCGTTCCCTGTTTCTCGATTCGCGGCCTCGGGGAGACTGCTGCGAGGCCGCAGAATACGGATGACATGGTCGGTGCCGTCTGGCGTGAATTAACCTGGCTATGCGCAAACTGGCTCAACCAATTTAGAACATACGCTACAATGTGTTTGGGAGCTTCCCACACCCGGCTCCGCCAATCTGTAAGTCCACCTCCAGGGCCGCGAGCGGCTCCCAAACCCGGCACGAGCTTAGCTGAACTCTGGCTTTGCAGGGTCCGGCAGGCTCCCGCCTTCTGGCTGAGCCCCGTCATCGCCGAGCCCCGTTGCATCAGCCCCGATGTCGTGCCCCGTGTCGTCGGACCGGTTCCGAGCGCTGCACAAGCGCGTCCTGCCCGTGCCGGGCCGATGGCAGGTGGTCGTGGCGCGGGCGCCACCTCCGCCGCCCTGTGCGACAACAAGGGCCTTCTCGGGCGATCGCCTTCTGTACGCTGCGGGGGTCAAGCGATGGGAGGATCGAGGGGGAGGACGCCCGAGGAGCGGGCAGAGGGTCCCTGCACCCCTCCCACCGCCGCCGCTAACCATCATCGTGCTGCAACCAGGGCGGCTGAGCAATCAAGGAACGGAAGGTCCCTGCAAGCCACGGCGGCCCCCGGCCTCGAGGAGGCTCCCCGACGCAGATTACGGGAACGGCCCGACAGCTGGAGCCCTCCTGAGCCCCAAGCGGTTCTGACTTCAGCATCCTGCCTGCACTCCATTCGGGGGGACAACGGTAGGGGGGGCGGAACTGGCTCAGGGGTGTGACAGTAGGGTGGTCCCCTGAGGGGCAACGAGAATGAGTATCGTTTAACCGATCCCCATCCCCGGCGGCGTGGCCTGGGTCCCACTGGCCGATTTGACCCCCTAGATGGGGATATAGGTCGTTCTCTTCGGGGTTCAAGGGATGTATCCCCAACTGGGGTGGGAATGTGCTGGGGGTCTCGAAGGGGATGGAGATGGGGATGGGGATCGGATGAACGATACCGAGAGAAGGGGGGACTGCTGGCTCGGGGGGGAGAGAGGGGGGCATCCAGCTGTCGCCGATAGATCGGCGATAGGCCCCCGATAAACGAACCGCGCATTCCTGGGAGCGGTTCTCAAGCCCCTTACCGGCGACAAATAAGCGGCGGAGGAGGAGGAGGAGGAGGAGGAGGAGGAGGAGGAGGAGGAGGAGGAGGAGGAGGAGGAGGGGTCGATGCGTCCCTCCCTGGGCCTGCCCCCCCCCCTGACGCTGCCCCCGACCCCGCCGCCGCGGCCTCGCGGACCTCCTGCTGGCGGCCGTCGTGTCGGACCTGTTGTCCACGTTGTCGCGGAATGCGGCGCTCTCCGCCGAGCCCTGCACCACCGCCGTCGCCGTCGTCGACGCCGTCGTCGCTGTCGCCGACGTCGTCGCTGACGTCGTCGCCGACGCTGTCGCCGTCGTCGTAGTCGCCGCCGCCGTCGGAGAGCGGGGGGCTGGAGGATGCGAAGCGGAGGGGGGCGGGAGGGGTGAGGGGGGTGGAGAGGAGGGGCGAGCGAGAGCGGGAGGGCGGAAGAGCATAGCGCTTCTGAAGTGGAGGGCTCGCGAAGGGATGCGAGGCGGAGGGGAGCGGGAGAGCTTGAGCCTTTCTGAAGTAAGAGGGGGGGGGAGAGGGGGGCGTCAGGGGGGAAGAGGAAGGGCACGGTGAGAGGGGCGAGGGGCGGAGGGAGGAGAGGGGATAAGACAAACCAGGTGCACTCGCGCCATATCTGACGTCCCATCCCTCCCACCAATCCCTTCCCGCTGCGCTGATTTTCTTTCTATCCACGGACGCATGTCATAGCCGACGCGGAACTCTAAAAAAGACTCCATCGTGTCATGCGCAATCGGAAAGGGGAGCTGAGTACATGGGAGGAAAAGTGGCGGGTGATTACGAATATGAGCAGGAGGAAACGGAGGAGGGTGAGGAAGGAGGAGGCCGATGACGAGCAGCAGCAGCAAGGACTGGAGTGGAAGGAGTGGGAGGAGCAGGAAGACCAGGGGAAGGCGGAGGGGGCAAGAGGGGGGCGACAACGATCAACATGGACTCGGATCCAGAAAACTGACCCGCGCTCAACGATGGGAACAAAGCCCCACGCTGCAGCGGGATTGTGAACAAGCGCGCGAACAAAAACAATGTATCTACATATATACAAATAGACATACACATACACACATATACATTGATGTAAGAAATATTTACATCCATACATCTATACACATATGCGTATCACCCTGCCGTTGCGGAGAAGAGTCAGAGGGCGGCGGGGACGTCGGGAGTCTGCGAGGCTCTGAAGAAGCCCACCGCAAGCGCATAAATGCCACAAATTATACAACGAGCCCGCCGCAGGCGCCGATTTGTTCCTTTAAACCAATGTGGGTGAGTCGCGGGTGGGTCACAGGTGAGTCGCGGGCCAGGTCGCTGGTGGGTCGCAAGTGGGTCGCGGGCGGGTCGCGGGGTGGGTCGCGGGTCGCGGGTGGGTCGCGGGGTGGGTCGCGGGGTGGGTCGCGAGTGTCTCGCGGGTGGGTCGCGGGTGGGTCGAGGGTGGGTCGCGGGCCGGGTCGTGGGGGGGGGGGGGCACAACAACAACGCAACAAGAACAAGCAGAATCCGCGCCGCGGAGTCCCACTACTGCCACGCACCCAGGGACAGTGAATGACCGTTCGGTCCCCTCTTTTAGAGTGTTTGTGTGTGTTAGCCAGCGCGGGTCCCAAACAGTCTCGGTGGATGTGTCAGCCATGTGATTTAAGCTATATGGTGCAAGCTATGTGGTGTAAGCTGTATGGTGCAAGCCATGTGGTGTAAGGGATGTGGCGCCATATACCCGATGTAAGCTCTGTGTGATAAGCTATGGCATGTGGCGTAATCTATGCGGTGTGCGCTATGTGGTGCAAGCTCTATGGTAAACGCCACGTGGTGTAAGCTATGTGGGCCAAACGACGTGTGCAAGCTGCGTGCTAGGGGGTGGAAGCTATGTGGTGCAAGCTATGTGTTGAAGGCTGTGTTGTGCAAGCTCTGTGGTGTAAACTACGCGGTGTAAACTATGTGGTGCGGCGACGGACGGGAACGGGGCCGTCGGGCCCGCAGACGGGCCCAATTCCGTAGAAGGCGCGCGAGAAGCCCTGAGTGTTAGCAGTGTGTGGGGAACCTGTTTGGAATCCTGTGTGCAGAAGAGACAGTACGCGGAGAGGGCCGAACATCTTGCGTACAGAGTCGGGGGGAAGCGGACTACCGTACTCACAATCTGTCATCATTAACCAGCCTCGGACTGATCCTTACCCCTAAGATGAGCGAGCAACAAGCGAGGACAAGATTAGGGGTGTGCCCTCAGAAACTGCGGTAACCCTTGAGATCGGCATCGGGTCGAGATGATGCCAAACACAGGGATGGGGATATCGGCATCGAGGTGAGATGATGCCAAACACAGGGATGTGGAGGCGACGCCGTCCGAGACGAAAGCGGATGGCGGGACCATCGAGCACGGACCTCCCGCGGGGTGCTCTGCGCCTCCGCTCTGCGCCTGGCCTCGGCGGCCACCTGCTGCCCCCCCTTTCCGCCGCCTACGCCGACCCCCCTCCTGTCCCTCCACCTCCCCCTCCTCTTCTCCACATGCCCCTCTTCCTCTCCTCTCCTTTCCTCTCCTCCTCCTCCTCCTCCTCCTCCTCCTCCTCCTCCTCCCTCCTCCTCCTCCTCCTCCCCATTCATTTCCTCTCCCTCTCCACATCGCTCTTCCTCTCCTCTCCTCCACGTTCCCCTTTTCCTCTCCAACGCATTCCCCTCTTCCTCTTCCTATCCTCCCCCTCCTCTCCCTCCCCCTCCCAAAGGAGGCTTCCCAAAAGGCTGGAAGGGGTTCTGAGAAGACCCGCCCCCCCCCCCGTACTTTTCCTCCCCCAGCGCGCCGTCGATCCTGCCCCCGCTCCCTCCTCAACATTATCGTACTGTTCCTCCTGCGCCCCTGCTCGCACCCCACCCACCTCCTGCAATCCCCACCCTCCCCCACCTTACGCCAGTACGGATGGGGCGGGAACATAAGGGGAGGAAAATAAGGCGCAGGTGCTACAGGGAACTCTTGCGTACTTGCAAACACAATACAGCCACGACGTGCGCAGTGCTTTGAAAGCGCGTAACGCAAGAGGAGAGTATCGGTTTTCTCCTGGCTCGTGGGCGAGTCCACCGTCCCCGCCCAGAGGAATGCAACGATTCAGCCTTTCGGGGCTATTGCAACTCTTCAAATAGATTGCGCTGTCGAGCGGGAATTATTGAACGACACGGCAACATATCCCACAAAAGGCACAACAACATGTACTTCTGTGGGCCCATTGTATGCACGCTGCTTATAAATAGAAACGCGGCGCACGCTTCCACCACTGGGCAACATCTTGCATTGTCAAGGTTGCTCACTGTTCCACCCGCCTTCGGTTATCCGGTCACGGGAGGCCCCGGGAACGCGGGTCGCCCTTGCTTGGACGAGAGCCCAAAACGCGGCGTGCTACATCCTGTGTTTGAACTGCGCGGCTTGGCGAAGCATGCAATATGATTGTTGAAATTGTGTCATTGCGACCTGGTGCGCCCACGATTGCGCCCCAAGATGTTTCCCACCCGAAAGGTGCTCGTTCACACTGCATCCTCATCCTCCCCCTCCACTTCCTTCTCCTCGCCTCTCCTTCCTCTTCACGCGCTGCCCATCTTCCCATCGTTACTGCCATCCCTCCTCCTCATCATCATCCTCCACTTCCTCCTCCTCTTCCTCCTCCTCCTCCTCCTCCTCCAGCTCCTGATCCTCATCCCTCCTCCTCCTCCTCCTGCCCCCTCCTCCTCCTCCTCCTGCTCCTCCAGTTCCCCTCCTCCTCCTCCTCCTCCTCCTCCTCCTCCTGCTCCTCCAGTTCCTCCTCCTCCTCCCCCTCCCTCCTCCTCCTCTTCCTCCTCCTCCTCCCCCCTCCTCCTCCTCCTCCTCCTCCTCCTCCTCCTCCTCCTCCTCCCCTCCTCCCTCCTCCTCCTCCCCTTCCTCCTCATCGTCCTCCTTCTCTCTCTCTCTTCTTGTTTTTTTTCTCATTTTATTATTATTATTATGCTTCTTCTTCGGCTTATTCTTCTGCTTCTTATTCTCCTCCTCCTCCTCCTCCTCCCCCTCCCTCCTCCTCCTGCTCCTCGTCCTCCTCGTCTCCCTCCTCCGCCTCCTCCTCCTCCTCCCCCCCCTCCTCCTCCTCCTCCTCCTCCTCCTCCTCCTCCTCGTCCTCCTCCTCGACGCAGCCTGGCGAACAGGTTGTCCTGAGCACCCTACAAACAGGGGGGGGGAAGCGCCCCCCCCCCCCCCCCCCCCCGTGACCCCCTAGAGCTAGGGGCCGCCCCCGCCGACGGGGCCAGAGGCAGGAGAGAGAGCGAGAGCGAGGGGGAGGGGAAAAAAGAGGAGGCGCCGGCCTCACACGTGCTGCTCGTTGAGCAGCACTGACCACCGATGGTGGCCAGCCCCCATGCCTCCCTGGCCCTGGCTCTTCCTGCACCAGGGGACACAGGCTACCCCACGTCACCGTGCGGGGCACACGGCGCGCGTTTCCGCACATGGGTAGCCAGGCCCGCCCCCACAGGCCCCCTTGCCCAAGGGGGGCCAGGCGGTACACGTCTTGAGCCGTACTCCCGAAGGAGCCGACCCCCCTGGTCACACCCGACACCCCGACGTCAGGGGCGGGCCCCAACAGTGACCAGAGCCAGCCCCCGCGCAGGCTGGTACCACGCGGGCCGACGCGGACTGGAGAACCAGCCCGCGCCAGCCCTGGGGGGTTACCCACGCGGCCCTAGAACGTCGGGTCCCCGGGGGGCCTGAGACGGCAGACCGAGTCCCAACGGGGACCACCCGGCGGAGTCGGGGGGCCGCCCCAGGCCCGCCAGGGCACCAACGCCCCAGGGCCACGGCGCCGCAAGCGACGACATGGCGTATTGCAGTTCCCCCAGTGGCCTCGATGCGCCGCCCCGCACCGAGGTCACCCCCTGGGGGCCTCCTCCTCCTCCTCCTCCTCCTCCTCCTCCTCCTCCTCCTCCTCCTCCTCCACCTCCTCCCCCCCCTCCCCCCTCCTCCTCGTCCTTTTCCTCCTCCTCCTCCTCCTCCTCCTCCTCCTCCTGCTCCTCATCCTCCTCCTCCTCTTCCTCCTCCTCCCCACCCCTTTCTCCACCCTCCCCACTCCTCCTCCGCGTCCTCCTCCTCCTCCTCCTCCTCCTCCTCCTCCTCCTCCCATTCCTCCTCCTTCTTTTCCTCCCTCCTCCTCCTCTTCCTCCTCCTCCTCCTCCTCCTCCTCCTCCTCCTCCCCCTCCTCCTCCTCCTCGCCCGCCCCCCTCCTCCCCCTAATAATCGGGGTCTCCAGAGACCTCCGGAGAACCCTGGAAGCAGGTCCATGGATGCCACAGGAGGCTCTGGAGGCCTGCGGAGGCCCAAGATGGACCCAAAGCACCACATCACCCTCGATCCTCGATCGGCGACGGGGGCAGAGGCCTCTAGAAGCCCAAAGAGGACCACAACGCTCAGAAACTGTCGATGCTCGGTCGACGACGGCAACAACGCTCCTTTTGGGGCTCCTGAGGCTCCTGGAAGCCCCCATGGGACCAAAACGCTCAGAAACGTCCATCCTCGATCCTCGGTCCTCGACGACATCGATTGGCATCGGACAGGTCCTGGGGGAAACGGGCACCCCATGGCATGGACGAGCTTTTCGTGACCCGCATCGTTTTCCGAGGGTCCTGGGGCCGGGCCCCGACGGCACCAGCGCGGCCTCAAACCTCCACTTCAACGCCCTTGTTCCCTCCGGGCCTGATCGCTTCATGACGACCCCTCCTCCAGAGGAACAGAACACGGCATAATTCATAAACATAATATGTTGGAGGTCCACGCGGTGCTGGAAGCGCCGCCGGGGGTGGGGGAGTAAACGCAGATGAAACAACTCCGCGCGGGCCTCCGAGAATTGTTTGTGCAATGTGTTGCTCTTCGCACGCAGGCCTTCGTCCCAAACGCGGCGTGCATGGTTGGTGGACCGCCTCACGCCCGCCAATCTACCCCGAAGAATATCCACTATGCTGTGCGCGGTGACGGGCGACCCCTCCTCGACGACGACGGCGGCGGCGTGGAAACTGCCTGGTCGCCGGCCTGGCTACCAGGGCTGCCGGGGCTGCCGCCGCGGGCGCGCTTCCGCGCCCTGAGCTCCTGGGCGCACGAGAGCGCGCAGCGCGGGCTCTGGAGCTTGTCGCTCTCGGCATCGCTCTCCTCGTCGCATTCGTCCTCGCCTCCGTCTCCGTTCGCGTCCTCGCTCGTTCGCTCGCGTCCTCGCTCGCTTCCCCTCGTTCGGCCTCGCCCCCGTCCTCGTCCTCGTGCCTGTCCCCCTTTCGCTCAAAACCGCCCTTCTCGTCCCCGACCTCGCATTTCGTTCGCTGCATCCCTGAGCTGACGCGAAAGAGGAAGATGGGGGAACAGAGGAGAAGAGGAGAGGAGGATACGGAACTCAGGAGCCGGAGCTGGGGATTCACATGCTGTACCCCAGCGGACGACGACGCCGCTTCGCGCGCCAGCAAGAGGGGCGCGGCGATCTTTGCTGGCGAGTTTGTTTGTGGCTCCGTCTTCGGATGGCAGGCAGCCGCAAGGATGCCAGAGAAGAGGCAATGGGACGGAAGGTCGCCGGGGTATCCTGGAATTTTCGGCGTTCTGCAAGTGGTCATCTAAGCTTGCAGGCGGCATCAGAGGGGGAGAGGGGGGCACACGCATCCATCCGACTTCACGATTCGTTCAACATCGGGCAAGTGGAGCTCTAGAACCAATCCCAAGCCCAACTGTTCCTCCAAACTCCAATCATCGTGCTACCAAAAAGAGCGCCGGAGAAGGATCGAAGGGATGCTCTGGCCACGGCGAGTCTCGGCCACGAGGCAGCCCCCCGACCCGCATCTAGAGAACGGCCCGAAAACCCGAGGCCCTCCTGAGCCCAAAGCGGTCCTTACTGCCGCGTGTTCGCTGCATGGCTTGAGTTGCAAAGATGCAATGCAACATCGATCTCCGAAAAGCGCGCTCTTCCTGTGAGGCGATTCCCCTGGGAGGGCCCATTCTGTGTATCCCCCTTCCGCAATTTCTTCGGTGCACGCAGAGCCCACGTTAAGGGGACACCGTGTAGTCAATAACAGGGCTGGCGGCGCCACATCGCACCCTCTTGTCCCCAATGCCAACGGTATGTCTTGACGGTCGAGGGCGGGAAGGGCACAGGCGACCGATCTCGCGGGCGGCGCCGGGGTGGCCCCAGGCGACGCAGTGGGCGGCTGGCGCGCGCCTTGCAACGGCCATGGCAAAGGGGGAGGGACATCCAGCTGGAATCGGCCGAACATTGCCGATAGATCGGCGATGGGCCGCAGAAAACGAAACCGCACGTTCGCGGGCGGGGCAGGCTATGGGTCTCGGCGCACCCCCGCCTATCCTCCCCCCAACATTGCCCCCAATTCAACCGCGGCCAGCCCAAGCGGGAGGGCCCGCCCGGCACCGGCAAGGCGAGGCGCATGCCCTGTCCACGCGCGCCGCAACGCGGCAAGCCTCGCTCCCGCGAGCTGGTGGCGGGCGGGCTCTGGCGGGGCGGGGTGCGCGTCTGGTAATGAGGCGACCTCGACGACCCCGACAGCCACCACGACCCGACGACCCCGACGATCGCTCACCAGCGCTCCACCAGCGCGGACTGGTCGGCATCGCCGCCGTGGTTTCAAAGCCCGTGTCCCCGTCGCGGGCGCACCTGTTTCCGAGCCCGAGCCTGGCCCATCTGCCCTTCCTCGCCCTCTTTTCCCATACCCCCTGCCTGCTGTCGTCCCCCAAGCCCGTCCCTGCCCGCCCGCCCGCTGTTTCTTCCCGTCGTCCCTGGGCCCCGGCATGGCTCATCTGCCCATCCTTGCCTTCTCTCTCCCTTGCCCCACCCCTGACCGTTTCTGCTCGTCTGCCGGCCCGTTCGACCGCTGCTTCGTCCCGCCAGCCCCGGCCTCCCGCCTGCGCGTTCGCCGTCTGCTGGCTTCTGCTCTCCTGCCTCCTTCCCCGTGCGTCCCAGACTGCTGCGGTGCCGCCAGCGCGTGGCCGCAGCAGAGGTGCCGCACAGGCCTCCTGTGGCGTCGCTGGGGAAGCCGATGTCCGCGAGGCTCGCCAGGATTGAACAGAACACGACGGCGAGTGAGGGTGGGAGGGTGAGGGGGGGAGGGCAAGTTGGGTGCACTCGCGCCAAATCCGGCATCCTGCCCCTCCCAGGATGTCTGGTCCTGGGATGTCGGCTCTCGTGGCAGTGGATATGCGCCAATCCAAACCACGGATCCATGACCCTCCTCCGCCTCCTCAATACGTTGTTTGTTTCAAATGGATCCCCTGAAATCTGAACCTCTTCCCAAGGAACAGCGTTTCATCCTGCCGCTTTTTGACAATCCCATGGCCTTGCGAGGGCCTCCGGAGGCTCAAAATGGCAAGAAATCTCCGTTGCGTGTTTTTTACAACGCGTGAAGGTCCTCTCGGGTGGCGGATGAGAGAGGGGTGCGCATCATGGCCCGAGGCATGTGCGCGGACGGGGAGGGGTGAGGGGGGGGGCGGAACACGTCTTGACAGAAGACGATGAGGAAGGGGCGTGAACCCTGGGAGGTTTGATGGCCCCGGCGGCGACCTCCACACTGACTCCCCACTTGGACGTTCCCCTAATCTTCTCCTCCCCCTCCTCCTGCTCGTCCTCCTCCCTCCTCCTTCTCGTCCACCTCCTACTCCTTCGCGTTCTCCTCTGCTTCGCCTCCTACTCCTCCTCGTCCCCCTCCTACTCCTCCTTCTCCTCCTCCTCCGCCTCCTCCTCCTCGTCGACCCCCTCCTACTCCTCCTTCTCTTCCTGCTCCTCCTCCTCCTCCTCCTGCTCCTCCTCCTCCTCCTCCTCCTCCTCCTCCTCCTCCTCCACCTCCTCTGCTTCCGCCTCCAACCCGCAGTGGTACGGCGGCGACCCTCCCCCAGGTCCTTCAGGGGAGCCTGCAGAATGCTGCCCAGCTTCAGCAAGGCCTCGGCCCGCGCGCGCCTGGTGCCCTTGTCGACGGACATGTCCCTAAGCAACCTCTGGATGACCTGCAAACCCCCACCTCCCCTCGTCGCGAAGAAATCTCGACGGATGGTCTCCATATAATTGACTGATTCCAAAGCCGTTCGCAAGAGCCCGGAACCGTCAAACACGACGCGAGACGAGACACCGGTCCCTTGGGACGGGGTCCAAACCTCCCAGCGGGGGCTCCCATTGTGACATTTTCCCAGGCGTACCCAATCCCTTCTCCACGCGAGTCGAATATTTGTATGAACGCTCCGTGCGAAAGTCGCTAAGTATGCACGATCAGCGCTGCCCTTATCTCCGCCGTGCCTCCCAAACGCCCACGAAAAGAACGACAATTGCGCGATTCGTACCCTCCGAAGGAGGCGCGAAATCTCGGCTAGATCCGCGTGGCACCCTACTCCGCCGTGCCTTCCAGGAGCCCACGAACGTGGCGACAGTTGGGCAATTCGCAACATGACACGCTGACGTGAATGAACCATTACACACACACCAAACTGGGACACCGATTTGCGTCAGCAACCCATCAAAGAAGCACAACCAAGTGGAACACATGTTTGCTCCAATAACCTGTTACAAGCACGACTAATTTGGATACCGATGTACGCCAAGATACCGTCGCAGACACACACACATTCACACACACGCAAACGTCAATTAGCCAGTAAAAACCACACCAAAATGGAACACAAACGCGACAACATGCAACACAAGCTTGCGCTGGTGAACCGTTAAAAACGAGCATACCTGGGACTATTATTGAATCAATAAACCGTCCCAGACATACTACGCTAATCAACCACTAAAGACACCAAACTGGGGCACCGATTTGCGTCAATAAACCGTCACAAATACGACGAATTGGAATACGCATGTACGCCAACAAACCGTTACACAACTAAGTGGGACACCGATTAGCGTCAACAAACCGTCGCAAGCACACCAACGTCAATAAGACACCACAAAAGGGACGTTTGTTCCCTCCCGGATAACGGTCGTTACCGGGGGGGGGCTGGGGCGAGAGGGTAATCGTAACGGCGGCCGCGGCGTGCACCCGCCAAGGTGCGTCCGCGCCGCTGCCGCATCAATCGCCAGAGTGCGCCACAATCTCTGTGCACACGACAATGCCCAATGCACGCGTGCAAAACGAAGTCGCCTGTGTGGACCACGCTACTTCCGTACACCACAACAGCCGCGTGCACCGCAATGCCATGCCGCCTATGTACACCGCAGTGTCCGTGTAAACTGCAGCAACCGTGTGCGCAACAGCGCCTGCGTACACCGCGTTGCCTGCGTGCTCCAGATTGCTTGTGTACACCACAACACCTGCGTACACCACAGCAACCGAGCAACCGTGTGCACCGCATCGCCTGAGCACGCCGCAGTGCCTCCGTGAACCACAACGTATGTGTACCCAAGAACGCCAAACGCGCCAGCAAGCACATTCGTAGCTTGCGAAGCCTCTTTGCGGGGCTCGCTCCAAACCGCGGAGGCCTTTAGGACTTGTCATTCACATCCTCATCCTCCCCCTCTTCCTCCCCCTCCCCCTCCTCGTGCACCTCTTTCGTCCCCTGTTCCTGATCGCCTCGTGACCCCCGCAAAAACCAGAACAAACCGAGCGGAAACGCCAGACTCCTCATTCCTCTCCTCCTCTTCCTCCTGCTGGTAGTCCTCCTCCTCCTCCTCCTCGCTTCTTTGCCGGGTTCGCCACAACAATGTGTCCGCCTGGCTAAGCGCATTGCAATCGTCTACGGACGCCACAACACACATGCGAGCACGGAAACATGACTCACGGAGTTGCACCAATAAGCCGTCCCAGACACACGAACGTTCAGACACCATGCGCACAAAACTGGGGCACAACTTTGCGCCAGCGAGCCGTCGCTGACACAACAAGTTGGGCGGGATTCCGCCCGATTCCCCCCCCGTCATCCGCCGCCCCAGGCGAGCCCTAGATTGGCCAGGCCCACCAGGAACAGGGCGGCGCACCAGAGCAAGATGACCCCAAAGGACTGGTGGACGGGGCCGAAGCTCTCCCAGCGCTCAGAACCGAGCGCCCGCTCCCCGAGGCGGTCCGAGCGGATGAAGACCGACCCGACTGACCTTTGTGTCCAATCTCCACCGACCGTGGCATTGGACTCCCCGCCATCCCGCGACCATCCGTGGGCATCCAGCCCTCCCGCGCGCCCGCGCCTCATCTCCTGGGCCGCCAGTCGCTGGAGGCGGGTGGGATGCTCGATTCTCCGGGATCCCCTCCCGGGGATGATCCTTTGGGTGCCCCGGCCATCCCGGGCGGGGGCCTCCCCGCCGCGACTGCCCCCTCGCGCGCCGATGTCCGAACCGCCTGCACGAGCCCTGCCACTATGGTCTGGAAAGGTTTGGGATGCCCCTCATCGGGCTCCTCGCCCTCCCCCTTTCCTCCTCAGCCCCAAACCTTCTCGTGACCCGCGGGGGGGAGAGGCTCGCGCGGGGGCTCCCGGCGGGGGCCCCTGCCCCGTGGCGCCGTGCGGACATTGGCCTGGGCCCGAGAGCTGTCTCCCTGTCCCAATGCCCCCCTGGGTTGGCCGTTCCCCAGGGGGTTGGCTTGGCTCGGCCCCCCGCGTGGGGCTCGGGGTCGGCGGGGTCCGGTCCGGGCCCGCCCGGACCCCCTGGGGCCGCGGCCACATTGTCATGCTGCACCCGCGGCGGCACCCGCCGCCGCGCCGGCCATGGCGCCCACCGGCGCTCCCTTTCCAGGCGCCTAGGTGGGGGTTCCGCGGCTGCCTGCGCCAGCAGGACCAGCCGCACCAGCCTGCCCGCCCGGGGGCCCGCCCTGCGTGTGCGCGGCAAGGGCAAGGGGTGAACCCCTCCGAAAAAAGGGAACGAGGCAACCGCTCAAGCCAAACAATGGGTACAAAGTCCATCAGAAGGCGGTCGTTTTCTTATTTCTTGTTTTGCCGCTCGGCGCAGGCCCTCGCCCCCCCCCCCATGGAGTAGATCTTGTCTGTTTTTGGCGCCTGCTTCGAGCAGGTGGAGCTTTCCTCACAGGAAGCACGGTTGCAAACAGTCGCATTAAGCAGATGTCCAGAGCCAGACCCTTCCCCCTCCCCCACCCCCTTCCGCCCAATGTTGGAACGCCGAATAAGAAAAAATCACAATGTCTTGTTCAGGGTTCGCTGCCGGCGTCACCGCAGTCGTTGTCCATTTGAAACAAACGGTTGCCTGCGGCCGCTGTCGGTTTTGGACGGCATATATTGTTGGGAACGGCTGCGGGAGAAGGGAGGACGACAAGAAACGCAGGGGAGATATTACACTGTTGAGGGGTGGGGGGCCCAATAGCAAGAGCATACCAACAAGGCGATACAGGCCTGCCTGAACCCTCAACAGATTACGAACTAACGCGTTGAGGACACGGGTATACAGTATACAAGTGCATTGCAACACACGAGATACTGCGTCTACTTCAGTGTAGCGCTGCACCCCCACATCCCATGAGCGACCCCGCCGCTCCCTCCACCTTCCCGCCTCTTCCTCAGTGGGCCTCTGGGTGGTGATTCCGCCGGAGCGGGGTCGGCCCTCCCCCCCGTCCCCCCACGCCCGGACTGGGGAGGTCGCGCGCCGGCCCTGGCGGCGGGCCCGTTGCTGGGCGCGGCGCGGCGACTTCTGGGACCGCCCGAGGGCCGATGGCGTTGCGCAGATACGTAAGAGGGATGGCTGGGGAGGCAAATACGTAAGAGGGATGGCTGGGGAGGCAGAAGAGATGGTGGGGAGGCACGCCGGCACGGGCAGGACCTTGGAGAGCGTGAACTCGATGTCGAGGGCGGTCACGCTCCAGAACGCATCGTGGAACAGCGGCATGCAGTCCTTGAACGACTCCTTGCATGAGCCCGGCGGGGCTCCGCACAGGGGAGGAGCAAGGATGAGGATTGGGGAGAAGGATCCTGAATCCTGTCACGAAGCTCCGATGGCCAAACCACGATTTGACAGACAGGCACAAACAAACGAAGCTACGTGTGAGCATGCACGTCACGTTGTCATCTGCCGCAAGCTGAAATTTGGCAGAGGCGCCTCTCCATAATGGCCTGGCAGCGGGATCCCGACCCGTTGCCGGCGAAATCGGTCGCGCCACACTTTTTGGCTTTGCCAAAAAGACGCCCGACAAAGGAGAAGAAAACACACGATTCAATAACGCGAGGATGGTGAGGCTGACGAGGGAGGGGCGGGTCTGAGGACGCCGGGATCTCCGGGGAGGCGGAAGGAGGCGCAGTGGAGGCGAGCAATTGGCAGAGCCAGGGGCAGAGGCACACAGGGAGACGGGAGGGAGAGAGCATAGCGGAGGCACAGGAACTCAGAGGGGGGAGGAAGCAGGGGGAGCGAGGAACGGGATTGCGCAACTGCAGAGGGGGCGCAGATGAGGAAGGAGGGAAGGGGGAGGGGGACAGCGGAGGGAGCAGGAGAAGAGGGAGGGGGAGAAAGAGCCGGACAGGGAAGGACAACGAGGAGGAGCAGGAACGAGGGGGGGGGAGAGCGGGAGCGGGAGGAACGGGAGGATACGCATAGGGCAGGGTGAGGTCATTCGCCTTTCTACTGGAGGAAGGAGAGGGGTTGGATGATGCTGATCGGGTGGGAGGGGGGAGGGAATAGGGGAATAGGAGTTCCTCCTGCTCATTCTTCTCCTGCACCTCCCCATGCTCCCACCTCCTCTTCTTCTTCTCCCGTTCCCCACTATCTTCCCTCCTCCCCGCCCCGTGATCCCTACGTCCTCCCTGCTCTTCTTGCCTACTCCCTACGTGCTTCCTGCTCTCCCGTACGTACTCCCTGCGTACTCCGTGCTCCCTCCTCCTCCTCCTCCTCCTCCTCCTCTTCCTCCTCCTCCTCTTCCTCCTCTTCCTCCTCCTCCTCTTCCTCCTTTTCCTCCTCCTCCTCCTCCTCCGCCTCCTCCTGGTCGTCCCCATCCCCCTCCTCCTCCACCTCCTGCTCCTCCTCCTCATCCTCCCTCTGTTCCTCCTCCTCCTCCTCCTCCTCCTCCTTTCACTTGCCTGCTCATCGAGTTGCTCTTTTCCCTCTCTTCCACCCGTTGTTCCTCCTCCTCCTCCTCCTCCTCCTCCTCCTCCTCCTCCTCCTCCTCCTCCTCCGTATCATCATCCTCCCCCTCCTCCCCTCTCCTCCCCCTCCCCCCCCCTCCTCCTCCCCCCCCCCTCCTCCTCCTCCTCCTCCTCCTCCTCCTCCTCCTCCTCCTCCTCCTCCTCCTCCTCCTCCTCCTCCTCCTCCTCCTCCTCCTCCCTTTCCCCCCCCCCCCCCGGCGGTTCAACGATAGGGCCCCGAGAGATGGGGCCCTGTCAGGTAAGGAAAGGGATCCCGAGCTGAACCTTCACTGTCCGAGGCCAGTCGCCCGTAGGGCCCCATCCCTCGGGATCCCGTCTCTGAACTGCCGACCCCCCTTCCTGCCGGCGGCCGCGGCCGCCGACGGCCGCCGAGGGAGGCCCGCCTGCATCTCCGCCTCGGCGCCGCCCGGCGCCCACTGGCCGCCCTCGCCGCCAGCGCCGCCCTGCCAGCACCGCGGGGCAGCGCGAGGGCGCTGGGGCGAGGACCAGGAGGAGGGGGGAGGAGGGGGGTCCGAGGAAGAGAAGATAGCGATGCCGCTGCTCGTCCTGGAGAGCCCTCGTCGCCAGAGTCGCCTCGAAACCCTGATCAGGACACAACGTCGGAGAGGTCTGGGGAGAAGCAGTGTGGGTATCCGTTTCCCCCCTAGTTTTTTCCCACCGAGCGCTCCAATGAGCTCAGAGAGGGGGGGGAGGCGGAGGAGGAGGAAGGTGAGCTACCCCTCCATGCCCCTCGCGCGCCCTCTTGTTGAAGGCCTTGGCGCGAGCGGAAGCACCTGGGAGGAGGCCTCGGCGGAGCTTGCGCAAGTTATCCTCCCCTTTGGAGGAAATCTGACGCGAGCATTCCTGGGCGAGGCCTTGGATAGCTCTGTCCATTCCGATGGCGCCACATCTGGTGTATGCCCACCCGTCAGCGTGCTCAAAAAACTGGCACGTATGTGAGCTGTGCACCTCTTGGCTACCGATGCGAATGGGCCAATGGAGGAGGCAGAGGGGGTAGCGCGAGGATCGATCAGGGTGCAAAGGGTCGCGAGCCACTCGATAGCTCCGCTCCGAGCCGGCTTCTGGCGACACGCTGCACACGAAATCCGAGACCCCTGGAGAACGAGACCAGGACGACGGGCGGAAGAAGCGACCGCTTTCTCGAGGCGAGTCAAGCCCGCTTTCCGAACTCCTTCGAGCGGCCTGGCCCGGTCTCTTTGCCCCCTGGAATCGTGACTGGCAGACGCGATCAAGGTGGCTGCGAGACGAGCCCAGACCTGCTCGGCGACGGCGTCCACTCCAAAGACGTTGCCGGCGGTCTCCGGAAAAACCTGATTCCGAGCAGCCTCCCACCCGGCTCCTGTGTCGGCCTCCTGGTTGGCCAATCTGAATAGCTCGGGGGGGCCGCTCGCGCGGAATCTTTCCGCATCCACGTGGCTCTCAACTTTAATTAAGGCGATCCTGCGAAGGGGGCAGGAGCGGAGGTCGAGCGAGAGGGCGTGCCAGAGGTCCTGGTTAGATCCAGGCTTGGACCCGGCCTGGAGCCGAAGCCATCCACGCGCAACGTAACCGCTATCTGTCAGGAGTGTCAGATCTTCGCGCACGTGCAGAAAACAGTCCAAAAATGCTTTCAACTCTGCTCGGTTGCTGGTCTGTCTGCGACCAGCGAGGGCAGCACTACGACGGCGGTGCACTTGGACATGGGGCAAAGCGGGGTTAACCTCGACCCACGCCCAGGCGCATCGACGCAACCTTGGGTCATTAGCATGCTCACCACCCGACCCGTCCCCCGCACAAAGACGCCACAGCACCTCAGGCGGGGTTCCCACCTCGCCGTGGCGCGTGTCGCGCTCGGGGGGGGGGCCCTCGCCTTCATTCGCTGGATATTCGGCGTCGTGCGTATCGACAGCGTCAGGAGGGGCAGGGATAGGGACAAGGGAAGCAGGGATGAGGCCATGAAGCCAAAAACACACGTTGGTATCTGAATCGAGGGCGGTCTTCGTCACCTCAACAAGATCAGCTGAATCAGTACACTCGGGAAGAGAGTCATTGCACTGGCCCTCCCACACCCGATGCCTGAGCGTCTCAGGGGCGAGGCCACATCTGGGGCAAGTGGGGTCGAATTCACCAATGGCACACTCTGCAACTCTCTGTCTGAGCCACATACCGGCCGCGGCTGCACACTCGATGGCCGCCTGCCGTTCGTACTCTTGTGCCTTGCCTAGCCTCGACAGCTGCAGGCGGAGGCTGAAGAGATCCACGCCTTCCTGCAGCCCGCTCCCCAGGTGCTGTGCGGACGCGCCTGCCCAGCTTCTGCTCCACGGAGGCGCGCGCGGTGGCCAGCAGGTCGGAGGGGTCGAAGGCGGCCAGGCAGGCAGCAAGGGACGAGGGGTCTTGAGTGGGGGCCTCCCAGCGCTCTTCGAGTGGATCCAGCCACTCGATCGAGGAGCCCGGGAATGTCCCACCCAAGAGAAAGGAGAGAGGTGATAATGGCAGAAATCGGCCCTTAACATTGGACCAGCGACGCTCGAGAGGAATGGAAATAATGCGAGCGTAAAAGCGCCCCCAAGACTTCTGCAGACGACCGATGGGCGTGTCGTCTTGTTTGAGAAAGCGAAACCACTCAACTAACAAGTCAAAAACGGCCACGATGGCTGGATCGCGAGACCCAAATCTGAGAGCCAGGACCGTCGTTAGACACCTGCCCTGCTTTTGTTCCCACACTGCACGCGCCGCCGCCTGCCGTAGTTTTTTGTTCAATCGGCTGGGAGACGCCCCGAAAAATTTAGATTCGTTCATAGCCTGGGGCACGGCACCGGTTTTAAGCAGTTTGAGCCTAATATGCTGCTTCAGGGATCTCAGCGTGGAGATGCGGTTGCCCCTGCGGACCCTTTACGCCAGCGCTGGAGACCCCTAGACCTACGGATGTGTACGTGGGGCCCCCGATCGATGCCTAAATCAGGGGCGCTGTGCAAAACCTGAATGCTAATTCCTGACTGCTTGAGATCGCTTGAAACTGTCTTGGCAATGGCGGTTCTGGCCCCGAGGGGGGGGAGGGAGTTTGGTCCCTGAACTCGTCGTTGAAGTAAAAAACATTGATTTGACTACGGTTTTGGCCCCATTTCGGCCTTCTGAGGGGGCCGCGTTCCTCTTCCTTCTTAGCAGAATCATTGATTTTACGAAGGTTTTGGGCTGATTTTGTCCTTCTCAGGGGTCAGCGCTCACTTGCGCTTCTGAGGAGATCGCCAGAGACCCCAAGATAGCCCCAAGAGGCCCCCAGGAGGCTCCCAAGAGGCCTCCAAGAGGCCCCCAAGAGGCCCCCAGGAGGCCCCAAGAGGCCCCCAAGAGGCACCCAAGAGGCCCCCAAGAGGCCCCCAAGAGGCCCCAAGAGGCCCCCAAGAGGCCCCCAAAAAGCCCCCAAGAGGCCCCCAAGAGGCCCCCAAGAGGCCCCCAAGAGGCCCCCAAGAGGCCCCAAGAGGCCCCCAAGAGGCCCCACGAGGAGCCCGAACGACTCACACCACCAGGAGGGGCCCGAACGACTCACACCAGGACGAAGGCGCCCGAACGACGCACACCACGAGGAGCCCGAACGACTCACACCACGACGCGGGCCCCGAACGACTCACACCACGAGGAGCCCGAACGAGTCACACCAGGAGGAGGGGCCCGAACGACTCACACCAGGACGAGGGGCCCGAACAACTCACACCACGAGAAGCCCGAACGACTCACACCAGGACGAAGAGCCCGAACGACTCACACCACGAAGAGCCCGAACGACTCACACCAGGGACGAGACTCACCAAGGACGAGAAACTCAAAACTCCACGAGGAGCGTTTTCTCTCCCTCCTCCTCCGCCTCGTCCTTCTCCCGCTCCCCCCACAAGGAGGATGTACAAGGAGGCGGGAGGAAGGAGGAACAGGGGAGACATGCGGGGCCAAGCGGACACACGCCTGAAAAACACGACTGTCGGCATGCTTCGCAAGAGTTGCTGCTGTGAGATGGGCTGGTGGGGATACGCGAACCGTAAAGAATTCCTGACTGCTTGAGGTCGCTTGAAACTGTCTTGGCAATGGCGGCCGTTGAAGCGAAGACACAAGACTTGCTAGACAGAGAAATGTGCAGCTGATCGAACCCCTCTTTGAAAGCCACCACGAAAGATACAGTCTGATTGGTCACATTCTTGGCCGTGCCTTCAGCTCGCGAGCTCACACCATCAGCCCAAGTACGTGCCTCAAGCCCTGGTTGAAACCTGGAGTTGGGATCAAACATGAGGTCGAACAACATGCAGGCAGCGAGGTGCTGGGCGGAGCGACGCCTGGCTAGCAACCCCCCAAAAGCCTCGACGGCGGGAGAAAAAACACGAAGGCTTCGGAGGTACCTGGGGGCCAGGTGTAACTGTATACTGAGGGCGAGCACGATACATGGGTAAGTATGCTTGGTAGCTAATTGCATGACTAGCACAGGGTCTAAACTGTCATGAAAAGACGCCACCTTGAAAGTAGCAGCGCTTTCGTCTAGCACCAAGCGCTTTAAGGCGTCTTGGACAGCGGAGCTGCCTTTCACAGCATCGCCGAACCGAACCCGACGTTGGCGTTCGAGAGACCACTGGTTAGTGACGTCTCCTCGGAGCTGTTCCCACAGACGTGCCGCGAAAGCGAAACTTGCGATGCTGCGATCTGCCCCCGAGTCTTTCGGCAAGAGAACAATCCATGCCCTGAGCATCTGCCAGGGCCAGGCGATGTTGTTTGCCATCGCCTGGTAAACGTCGAGCAACTCCTGGCGGGCAGCTGGCCGCAGCCCAGCTATGTCACGTGCACTAATATTGACACATCCTCTGGACTTACGCTCAGGCGCGCGCCGGAGGATAAGGTCGAGGCGAGCCAACTCAAGAGGAGGGAGGGGAGGGGCCTCCAGAACGCACATTTGTACCTCTTCAAATGCTGCATGGAGCTCGTGATCATTGCTGCGACGAGACCATTTGTTTATCCAAGACTGGGCCTGGACATGCATGAGCTCGACTGGGGTAGTCGTTGGCAAGCTGCCTTCTCCGAGGGTTTCTACCGTGGTGCGAGGTTCTGGTTTCACCATCTCATGTAATGTGCCGAGACTGCTGGGTTGTTCCGCCCAGACGCTGAAGCTTATAAGAACTCTATCTGTGACCGTGCGAACGGCTCTGCTGAAGTTCCGGTCGGCTGCGCCGGCTAATAAAACGACCTGCTCCGCTCCTAGGTTCGGTAGCTCCCCGAGCGCGCGCCGCAAGGACTTGACCGCGGCGCCGTCGAGGGAAGGAAGTTTCAAATCGCCGAGCCGAGGAGCCAGGGACTCCACGCGGTCCCAAATCTGCTTGGTAGTTCGCTCCCTGCCAGGCTTGGAGTCGGTCTTTGAATGCACTCTGCCCAACAAGGCAAGGTGGGAACTCAAAACAGCCCACCAATTGACATCATTGTGCACAGATTGCAG